ATGACGACGAGGCGAGCTTCGAGTTAAATGATGATGATGCTGATGATGATGAGAATGAAAACGATGTAAATGATGTAGCCAGTAATATCGTATTCCTGCGTTCGCGTGTGCCGCACTCACCCCGTCTGCGCAGTCAATTGAAAAATCAAATCCCCGTGCAGAGCTCCACTTTTGGTAATCGCGCCAGCCAATTCAATGCTCAACTTGTGCTGAAGAATGCCAAACCGACGAATATGATGGTGTCACGTGAACACGCCGGAGCTATTATGGTACCCGATGGTTTCATTGAGATCGAGGGACAGAGTGTTGTTGATGAGAAAACCGGCAAGACGGCGTTGTTGGTGCCACGTGCCGCACTCGAGGCCATACCCGATGGAAGTGTTGTGGCGTTGGTGGAGAGTTCCGCCGACGAATCTGAGGAGGCGCGCGCCAATCGTGTTATAGTACGTCGTCGCCGCAAGGGTTCGCGACGCAATGTGCGGCGTCGACGAGGTGGCAACCGCCGTCGACAAGGAGGTAATCGTCGTCGTCGTCGTGGCGGTAACAGGCGCCAGAATGTGCGCGTATATCAGGTGGGTGGTGCAACACGTCGACGTGGTAGCCGTCGTGGCGGACGTCCTGTTGTGCTGCAGGGTTGAGTGAAAGCCCAATGGAACAACAATTCTTAGTATTATAGATTAGAGAAAATCGGCGATTACTCGGAACGAAATGTATGATATTGGAAAAAGGAATAAACGATAAATAAATGTTATGTGATTTTTGAAAACAAAAAAAAACATCTTAATTTTAATTTTGGGAGCGCATGACAAAATACTGGATTGAATGAAAGGAAATGAAGGGAAAGAAAAGGAACTCATGGTTGGGGAGGGGATTGGAAGGGGAAAGGAAAGAGAAAGAGAAGGAAGAGGAAAAGGAAGAGCAATAAGCAAAGAAATTAAAGGCAGAAAGAGCAAAGAAAGGAATTTTTTACTTGGGGAAAAGGGAGATAAGTTGAGAAAAAAAGAAAGAAAGGGAAGAGAGGGAACTGAAAAGAAACGAAGAGAAGGGAGGCGAATGAAGTAAATAGAACAGGGATAGATAAGATTGGGAATTGCATACCTAACTAAGAAACAAAATAAAAAATAAATACTTTAGGTAGAAAATATTCGTGGTCACAAGCAATAACCGCCTAAATCAAAAACCTGATTTCGAGAAAAAGACTTTTGAAATGAAAACAGTGTCATCTATAACTTTTTAATAGCTGGCGAGATGGGGATTTCACATACGCAAGACGACTTAGGGGGCTATCGCTTATGGCCACAGATATATAAAATAGTACACTAATTTCTTTCAGTCGCTTTCTTCTCATTCTTTCTTTCATCGACATGCATAGTTTGTGGAAGAAAGCAACATCACAAAAAGAGTTTCTACGCTCGTGTCATTAATCATGTACGCTGGTGTGTATCACCTTTACTAAGCAACATCTTTGCTTGCGCGATAGATTCGGCGGCTATATTTTTGCTTTTATTTGAGTTAATTTCACCACATAAGGAGTTATAAGTTTTGCAAAAAAATAAAAAATTGCAATCATATGATTTTCTCCTCAATTGACTAGGTATGTTGATTATTATAAGCATTCGCGAAAAAAGATGCATCAGCGTCGTAAATCTTGTGTTTAATCGCTTGTTGGAATATGATAATATCGCGCACCAATCAATGGCTTAGTGAAACAATCGCACACAAGCCATAAAATGCTTTTCAAACTAAACTTTCCCTCCTTATTCCTCACCCAGCTTAACACAATTTGGAAATATTTTTACTTTTGCAAATGGCGATATAAGAGCGTCAACAGCGCGTCTTTCAATCGCATACCTTCTTGACAAGCAAACGTGTGCTGAAGTAGTACCAAAAGCAATAACGAAGTTGACATACAAATGGCCAAGTCCAGCTTGTGCGGTTTGCTAGCGCTTTTGTGCGCTGCCTCATTGCTAAGCAGCATTGGAGCTGGTACGTTGTTTGCAATCGTAGATAACCGTCTTGGCAGAGCTAATTAATTTTCACCGCTTTCTTGTTCATCTTTCAGAAGAGCTATCCGCTGCCGAAGCGATTGTTGAAGCAAGAAATGATGATGCCGGTCCTGAATTACCTCAGCCACAGGCCGACGTAGACCTTGCTGAGCCATTGCCCGTCAACCCGAAATTGTCCGAAGTGCCAATTTTACCTGTGGAAGTGAACGATAAGCCGGATGAAAATGTTGGCAAAGCAGAGGAATCTGCACCTGAACAGGAGCCTTTGGCTGTCCCTACCGAGGATAGTAAAAAAGAAAATCTTGAGCTTGCAATAAACGCCGAAGTACTTAAGCAGCCCGGCATGGTGAGTTTTCAGAGACAATGGATATTTTTCATAAACCAATTACCTTACATGTATGTACATATTTACATAAGTACTATTTTCTATTTTTAAGTCACGCTTAGCACGTCAGCTAGAGAGTTTCCATAACTATCAGGTATATCGTGCACAAAAATACGCTGGTAAGCAACGCGCTGCCGAATTTTATGACGACGAAAATGATGAACTAGAGGCTGAAGAACGTGCCATTCGTCGGCGCAAGCGTGTGCGTCGTCGCAACGTTAACAACAATGTGCGTCGCACTCATAATAAACGGAATGTTGCCAATCGTCAAAATAGCGCTCATCGTCACAATCAACGCCGCAAATCCGTACGCAGGCAAGATGAACAAGGCAACGATGAATATCGTCCTGCCAATTCTAGTAATAAGCGTCGTCGTGGTGGTAGCAGCCAAAGCACAAAGAAAACAAGGAGTAAAAGTCCAAAGAGAACCAACGCTGGCAAAAAGCATCGCACATCCTCGCAGAAGGGTTCAAGTCAAACAAAACGAAAAACATCGCAAAGGAAGCGCACGAATAGGAACAGCTACAGAGGCCGAAATTATGTGAACGATGAGCGGGATGTAAACTCTTACCGGTTGAAGGGCGCTAAAGCGCCTCAAATGTTCGTCATTGTTGATAATAAGGCACCCGAAGCAAGCTCGTAAATTCTAAGTCACGAAAAAATATTAAATTAATTAATTTATTTAAATTTAGTAAATTACTCATAAGGAAAATAAAATTAAATTGAAAACGCAAAGTGGTTTTTTAATTCAACTTTTTCATGTGCGAAAATGCTTTTTCACTTACGATACCTTGCGCATACGTTTAGAATGATACACAAGTTGGAAAATCGTCAAACTTCTAGTCTTCTTAGAAGCAGAGGATACTGGCTGTAACACGTTTTCATAATGACAACAACATTTTTTACAACTGCTTTTTGCTCCTGAAAAGTACCCTTTTTCACATTGGATAGTTTGACATGGTAGCCACGATATATTCACATTGTGGCATTCCTCAGGCGAGCTTAGTAGCCGGTTTCTTCTTCTTGATTGGCGCTGTTAATGCTGGTTTAGCTCTTTTCACAAACCGACTATAGACCCCATTATCTATCCTTAGAAAAAGCTCGGTGAGCTTTCGTTTTCACTCTTTTTTAGAAAAACGCTCTGCGTTGCAAACATACTATATTTTTTTGAGTTGGATGCAAAAACACTTTAACAACAAATTACCTAAAAACTTTAAAGCCTCCTGAGGGTAGGGGTTTCAAATTATATGGCAATGGTGACGAGTGAAATTCCATTTCCACCTAAACCAGCGCAGTAGGCGAGTCTGCAGTGATACGTTTCTTTGGCCAGCGAAAGCAGAAACCCATCAATTTGTGCCACTTGGTACAAAAAATAAAGGAGAAAGGAATGACTTTCAGAAAGCCTTTTCGAAGATAATTTAGCTCCTGAAATTGTCTACTGGGTAGTAGTTTATGACCCTTTAGCCGTGTACCAAGTAAGTGTAAAAGTAAGATTTCAACAAAATAAACTAAACAGAAAGAAGGTATACTTACCCGATATTGTTCAATACGTTGGAATAACCTTTCGTTATCGATTTTCGATTTCAAATAACTGACATCTTAACCTTTTTATAAGCAATATCTGCCAAAAATTAAACGGTAGTCTGCATTGACCCCCATTAAAAAAGCAGAACACCAGGACAATTTTCTAAAATCACACAATGAGGGACATATGAGTGGCATTTCTGAGCGGTTCAGCGGCACCGAACTATGGGCTGATCTGAAACCCTGTGGTCAAAATAAAATTTCTCCTCTTGGAATGAACTGTTTTGGGTGTTTTTTTTTTTAATTACATGAAGATGAATATGTACATATACATCATAGTGGTTCACGAAAACACTCTTTTTGGAAATTCTTCTTGGAATTCTTTTTCTAATTCTGAAAGTACTTAGTTAGAGCGCTGGCCAATGCCTTTCCACCACGTAGTTCATGGCTTTGAGGATTGCATATACTTCAGCCTGGAAGAGCGAAGCATATTCGCTAAGAGAAAAGTGAAGTTTATTACCATTAACTTCGAAAAAGACCCCAGATCCTGACTCAGAGTCAGTTTTGCAGCCATCAGTAATGTGCGAGTGCTGGCTCAGTGCTCAGCCTCAGGGAACTGAACATTATAGAATCTCTTCAACAAAGGTAATAGTGGCGTACTATCTTGTGGAATTGAATTGACACAAATGCTCAAATCTCTGCCGCCAGCAATTTCCGCCTCACCCCACGGAGAGTTATACCAACATCCGTTTCTTTTTAGTCTGTAGGTGGCTTTTAAGGCGTCCACACGTATGAAGACACAAAGTGACGGTAAGTGCATAACTGCGTCAAGAGCACTATACACCACTCAAAACAACTTTATTTTGGAGAAAAGTGGGGGCTATTGGAAAAGAGGGCGTGGCGCCTCCAAACATACTGAAACTTTTACCTATCTGTAAATAGGTATACATATAATTCTTCCATACATGTGTTTGCGAGTGAACTCTTTTAATGAAATTTTTGTCCTAAAGTCCCTGTATAAATTAGGCTCACAATTTAGAACCCCGAGTGGCGCTGGAGTCGAGTTATTATTAAAAATCGTATTTATGATCTGATCTGGCTAATATTCAAAGTACGTATTGGCAACGTAAAGGGAAAATTTCTCGCCAGGTGGCTCTGGAGTGGAGTTATTACTAAAAATCGTATTTATGGTCCGATTTGCCTCATAATCGAGATGTGTATTAGTAACGGTAGGGGCAATACCATTGAAAAAAAAGAGCCGAAAGGTGGCGCTGGAGTCGAGTTATTGTTAAAAGTCGTCAGGGGAAGTTATTCACAGACACCAGGGATAAAAATCAAATTACTACCATAACCATTGCGGTCCTTACCTTACGACGACTTAACAAAAAAGACACAAAAACAAAATAAAGACAATTCTGGATGAATGCCTACAAATTCAATTGTAAGACATTTATGGTACTTCTAGTTTCTATACAGATTCCATAACGATTCACCATTGCGCCGGATCATTGTTGCCACAAGAACTTCTTCACGGACATAACGCTTCCGTTAGGTTATTTAAGACAGCAATGGAGGATATGCTTTCTAACGACCACAAAACCAAACGTGAACGTGAATTGTGGTGAAAACTTTGTACCAAATGTTTGAATAAAAAAATCAGTTTTGGGCGGGACGAAATTCGCCGCGTCCGCTAGTTTTTCATATCTAATAAATTCGCTAAAAG